AAAAATCCCCATCAAATCCCCACATCCCCAAACGAACGAATCTATCCCCAAATGTAGGGTTCGAACGATACTATCGATATTGAGTAAGTATCGATACTGAGGGTATAAAAATGAGTACTTTAATACTCGATACCTTATTTGGTGATTTTACTCGATACTTTTCATAGTACTCGTAGTATCGAATACTTTTAAAAAAACACACTTTTTAAATTTGTTCTTCCATTGGCAGCCCAATTTTCTTTGCTTATATGGATTACTATCATTCAATTTTGTCCATCACTTAAGATAAACTGAAATCTTGTGTAGTCTGTTGCATAACATAAACCAAATAAGTTAAAGTTTAATGGCCTTATTCATGAAAAACAAAGTAGGTTTAAAGAGCTAATAAAATAACATTTTCATATATTTTTCAGTTTATAAGCCTTTTTTATTTTTTATGAATAAGGCCATAAAACTTTACGCAAAGTTCACGAAAATTCAGAATTTTTAGAAACTTTTTGGGTACGCAGTTTTCTAACCTATTCAACTTTACTTGTAGCCTACTACCGCCAACTCTTAATTCAAGCTTGCACATTGTTATACTAAAATTGAATAGGCTACAAAAATGCATACCCGAAAAGTTTACAAAAATTCTTAATAAAATTATAAAATATCTGTGTATGTACATTTAAGGTTAAAATTACTTCTAACGTGGAAGTAAGTTCTGCAATGAAATAAAAATCAAATATTTTAAATTTTTATTGCTTTAATTTCAGGAAATAACTAGATATACGATTTGAAGAATAAAATAATTTTAGTATCCCAAAAAACGTATTTTAATCAGTCCGATACTGAGTAGTATCGATACTTTTTCCCTGATACTTTTAGATCGATACCATGAGCTCGATGCCAGAATGAGTACTCAGTATCGATACCAAAGTCTCAAATTTCGAACCCTACCCAAATGGTTTCAGAAATCCCCAAAATGAGGCGAAATCTGACATCTGGCAACTCTGATCGATACTTCCATGTTATCGTTTTATCCCTAATTTAAGATTACTGGAATTTATTTATTAGCAAGTGTTTGGTCATTTGAGGCCATCAGTTCAGCCACTGGTCCCAGGCAGGAGCAACCCCGTCGGAACCGTGGGAGTGATTCTAATCATGTGAATCATCATCCTGAAACATCATATGACCTTTTAATAGGGTAGAACGTCAGTTCACCACTACTAAATGACAAGTTTAAAACAGCCATGGTAGAAATATTAATACCAGCAAGCTAGTAAGGCATTTGAGAATTTCATTTTATCTATATAAAAATGAACAGCAAAAGAAAGAAATATAGAAAATA